TGTAAAATACATTCATCTATTTCCTCAGTGAAGAGATTATTTATCCCAAGGATTTATATATTAAATAAAAAAAAAAGTATTCAAAACTAGACCACCCATGGCTTTTGAATGAAAAGACTTCAACATACAAACCATGACCTGCTAAATACTATCATTCTTCACCAAATACTGAATAACACAAAATACTGATACATTTCAGATTTTGAATCCAAGAGAATATCTTAGAACAGAAGGAAATTAGAATATAAAATGCCACTTGCAGACTTCTATAAGGAAGTAGCAGTTTGATAGAAAACTTATAAAATACATATGTTTATTTATTATTATGGTTAAATTGGGAAAGAACTTACTTGAAAAGCAGAAAAAGCTATGTAACCTGTAAAAGTAGTCTAAAGAAAAAAGACCTGTTGTGATCACCAAGTCAGGCTGCTCCTACAGAGTCAATTGGTTTTGTTGTTGCAAAAATTGGGCAGGCTGTTTCAGGCCTGTGTATTTGAGGGAAAATAGTTTATCATGAAAGGAATTAAGGGAAAAAGATGACCAAAGAAAAAGAATAAAAACGGAAGGATTCAACAAAAAAAAGTCACAAAGGAAAAATAAATATATAAATAAATAAAAGGAGCATCATTTAAAAGAAATCATTAGACTTCCTGGAATATGCAGATGTGATATAAAAATTGTTCAAGTATCTTTCATTTCAATAGTACCTTAATGGTAACAAGGGATTTTATCTATTTTAAGCTTGAGGTATGTCAGCTTAAAAGCATGGCTGATAACTAGCTTTACTGATCAGATCTTTATGGGTGTCATAATTCTATGGCGCCCTAAATTTAGCCAAGCTTTCAGATGTTTGCATCACAGTTTCATCTGAGCAGTATTGCAGTTACCAATCCACTATTTACATAAAATTCTGTTTTATCTAGAAATTTTCTCCTCAAATACATTTGTTAACAGATTATTTTAATATTCACTTGTGTAAACGTGTAAAAATTTTAGAATCAAATAGCTGAAAATCACGGATTTTTCCTGATGTTATCAGTTCGTCTGAATGAGATGTTGACGAGATATGAATTCCCCACCAACAGTCCTGTAGCCAACATCAGGTTTATAAATACAAAACTTATAGCTCAAACTATACATGAATTTCAATACATAAAGTTCAATAACCTACTGAATCTGATATGGTTTTTGTAGTAGGTATATCTAGATTACCTAAACTATCCACCAAAACTTGGCCCTAAACAGATCATGCAGCTAAAACAGGAATACATTTGGACCTTCGGTAGTAACTGGATACTAGTTTCCTCTCTACCTGCTGAAAATCTTCCCAGTATCTCACATGGTTTCATTCACTTTGTCTACTGAAACAGAAAAGACAGAGGTATAAAAAAAGTCTAGGTTGGAAAAAACCTCTACACACAAAACAAACTCCCAAAAGCTGTATAAAATCAGTTATGATATTGACAGCTTTGCTGGTGATTTTTCTTTCTGGAAATGGTAGATATTGCAACCTGGCCAGCTGGTTCATGTGCAGCACAGATGACTTCGCATTTCAGCTACTTTCACCCCTTCAGGTGCAGTAGCAAACCTTCCTTAACAGCCCTCCCATACAAGATGCATTTGAAAACCTCCTTATGTTAGTTTAGGCTTGTAATTCACTAGTGTATAAAACCATTTCCAGGACAAATGCACACATGCACACACTGCAAGTGATGCGTCCTCCCAGGCTCTGGTAATTCCTCTCTTTGAAATGGCTTTTGGGTGCCCTTTGTCCACTTGCCTGCCCTCAAAGATTTTCAATGACTTTGCTTCTTCTCTGCCTTTTTCCAGCTTCTCCAGTATCTTCTGGTTTGGGTTTTGACCGATTTCTTCCTTCCTTATGCATTACCAACACTGAGGGATTTTACTAGCAGTGACTAATATAAGATTTAAACTTTAGCAGATACCACCTACTGCTGAATTATAAAAAGCAAAGGTGTATAGAACAGCAAGAATTCTCTGGCAGAGTTGCAAGCAAATCTGTACAGTAAAGTTCAATTATTTTCCACAGAAAGAAAAATGGAAAGGCTTAAAAATGCTGGGCAACATGAAATCTACATCACACACATTAGAACTGCATTTGATTTTCTGAGGAAACAGTTAAAATGTTTTCAGAAGAATCCATTTATATAACGCAACACATCAACATGCAAGCTGTGTAAGTGCCTTCATTCTAAGCAGCTTCTGAAATAAATTTATCTGACTCTTTTGATTTTTTGCCTTTCTAAATGTAGCACACATTCCTAAAAAGAAGCCAAGAGGCAAATCTCCTCCTTCCCCCCAAACAGTCTTCGAGCTTAGATTTACACAAGAAAAAAAAAATCACTAGCTTTTTTGTAAAGTTGTGTGGGAATGCCCTCCGTATGAGTGAATAAAGGCCATCCTACTTTTGTCCCCTCACACCCTATGCTTTCTAATAATTCCAAAGAATTAAGAAGAACTATTGTAGTGACTACCATTTATAACTGCTTTAGTTGTCTCCTTATTTTCCTAGAGTTCCTGGACAGGGGACAGTGAAAATTCTTAGGAACAAGATCCCTATTAGGCAGAAGTTAAATGTTTTTACCACTTTGCTACATCAGAGGAAAAAGCCCAAACCCATAAATAGAAGCCTGTTCTGTCAGTGGATGGAATCACTGAGGACCACATAGCAGTAACAGTACAGTCTCCATTCTAAGCCAGCCCTGTTCTCAGAGCAACATCTTGGCTCACATCTTAAATGTCATCACAATGATGCTTCAATTTGCAAATTAATGCTATTTTCCACACCATGGTAATTTTATGATGCTCTCATTCTTTGTCTCTTACAACCATGAATGCTTCTCTAGTGACCAATAACAGACAAAGCGGTAGTTTATTTTTCAAGAAGAGTGAACATAACTTTTTAATTTCTTTTCAATAGAGATAATATGGACAGTAAGATGTCCATTGAAATACATAAATACATGTAAATATGCACTTCTCTCTGCAGGCAACAGCCATGCTAAGTATTAATTTGGAGTCTTAAATACTATGAGTCACAAAAGGATCTGCTTGTATCACCCAAGTCTTTGATTCATGCCTCAAGAAGCACAGGTAAACAATCACTGCTCCAGATTCCCTAAATTTTCCTGAAATTCACTCATGATTTGTTTGAATGAATACTTCAAACAATATTTGTTTGAATACTAAATGAATTCAGATGTTTATTCCTTCTCTTTAAATAGCTTTTCAGCATTTTAAAATCAGAAATTGACATTCATGACAAAGATGTATTTAAGACGAGACCATGTACTGGTCTTAAAACCAAAGAGTTTACAGCTCTCTGGAGTAAGGTTTCTTTTATTAGTATTTCTTCCCATTTTAATTGAATTAAAGAAAACCGAAAAAAAGGAACCAAAATTATGAAGACCACCAGCGCTGTAAAAAAAGAAAATGTCTCCCAGGGTTTCCAGTTCTCTCTCCTCAGTGTTCTGGAGTCCAGATGTGGAAAGCCCAGTGGAGCTGAAAACATTTTTGGAGGGTGGAGAGAAAGTTTTGATGCTACTGCTGTAGCCTTATTTTATCCAAACCAGACAATTACCTTTCTTCATTAAGAATAAAAAGCCAAAGGCAACCACCACCAAACCCCACCTTTTGTATATTAGTACACAAATTAATTTTAATTGAGCCTGGTAAAGAAAAATAAATGCTGTGCAACTTAGCACTTACAAGCAAAGAGGCCTTGCAAGGCTGCTGCCTTAACTCAGACCATATATCATCTCTGAAATCCTCTTTGTCCAGCGTGCAAGTATATTTTTAAGATACATATTTTTCCTGCTCCCATATTGAGCAAACACATATTGATTTGCTGCAGTGACACCAGGTCACAAGCTATGTAGGAGCATTCCCATATCTTATGCAGCTACACCTGGAATATGGTGCTCAGCTAAGTGATGACAAGGGTGGTCAGTGAGGTGATGATAAAAGTCTATAAATAGCTCAAGAGGGTGAACTCTAATGAGGAATAAGTATTGTTTTAAGGTGGTCTGAACAAGCTTGATTGGTAGAAACAAAAAGATGTCCTGACACCCGGGGCCAGGCACAAGTTGCTGAATAGGAGCTTGCACATGGTACAAATGCCAGCAGTTCATTTGGGCTTGGCCTTGCATGCACCACAGGCGTATAATGAATTTACTATTTCAGAAAAATCATTATGGTAGACTTCAAATATAGTAAAGACTTTCAACTGCTAAATTAGTCCCTAAATTCAATAGTCCACCAACAGGAGCCACATGTTCAGGGTATTTAGCTACACCAGACAAAGCCCTAGAAACAGAGAAGAAGAACTAAACCTGCCCAGAAAGGAGAACAGACATAAACCCTGACAAATCTGTCATACCTTCACTTTCCATGGTTCTGGAAAAACCTGCACGTGGGACTACTTGGGAAAGGTCTTTTTAATGAGGGTTAATTGGAGAAGTATGTCACACATGACTGAGTACCGTTTCAAATAACTGCTCATGCTGGCATAACTAAATCAGGCAAATGACAGAACACCAAAATAGGGAACACTCAATCTTCTTCCCTCCTATTTAATCTTTATAATTTCATTATTCTCAAAATATCCAAATATCTGACATTATAGATTTTTATTGAATTTATTGCTTCTTTTAAAATATTATGAGCACATCAGTATATTCCCCAGTGACCCAATAGTTCTATTAAATATATTTTCTATTGTCATTCAAATTATTAGTCTATGCTAATTGGAACTGCTGGATTTGTTTGTCCGGCTTCTGTGATGCAAAAGCTCCAGTTATGTGATCCTGATAAAGCCCTTTCTGGGCTTAAAAAAACAAAAAAGTCTAGAAAGGAGAAAATAACCACACTTTAGCCAGCCAGAATAGAGTTATTCCTGCAAAAATCATTGTACAACCTGTAGCACTGCATTACTTAAAAAGTCAAGTCCCTAGCCCTGAACGAAGTCACTTCAGTTTCTCTGCGCTGCCCAAGTTAACTGCAAGCATTTCCTGACACCCAGAGCGCAGGCAGAAAAAGGAAAAACGTCGACTTGAGAAAAGCACAGCTTCCAATCCCCACCCACCAGCTTCAGTCAAAGGGATGACTTCAGTCCCTTTCTTAACTAATCCTGTCACTGTAAAATCCTACAGTCATTCTTCCACACATAAAGGGAAAACGGACTCACTAGGAGGACTTAGACTCTTTCAGCTTGAACTGTTAGCCAATGGTGGAAATGCAAGAATGCTGAAGTTGTGCCTTCGGAGCCAATAGAGTGGATTTGTGTGTCCCACATGACTGTGTTTCCCCTGTCTTTCACATGGGCAGTATTTAGTTCAATTCAGAACTGCAGATAGTATAGCGTGCAGAGCAGCAATGGGATGTCTGAGCACAAGTGGCTGACTTCCAGGCGACTTCAGGAAGCGCATTTGTAATATTTCTCCTGAATTAAACTGGGATTCTGCACTCTTGACATCCTCCGACCCTCCTTGTCTCTGCAGAAGGAGACAGCGACCTGCACAGCACAGCAAAACTGTGAGTACGGAGTCTATTTTTATTTTTACCCAGAAAAACAAATCTCTTCAAATTGTTAAAATGCTGTCTGCAACTGAACTGATGGTTACTTTTTCTGATGAGACAAACAAGTAGCTAAAGTGTTATTCAAATTCAGACAGAATTTTTGCATTCTTCAATGAAAAAAAAAAAAGAAAAAGGAAAAAAAAAAGAAAAAAGAGAAAAAAAAGAGTTATCCTCCAGGGCAGTGCCTGCATGCACACTGCATGCCACACTGCTTCCTGACATAGCCAGCATGCTGCTTTGTTCATAAAGAAAAACAAAGACAAAAAGCCCGACACACGTATGTTGTTCACTTTTATTTGTACTCTGTGTCTAATCAGGCCTGATCTGTCCCCAAGGGGCAAAAAATAAAGGCAAACTTTAACTCTGCCAGCAAGGGCAGCCCAGACTTTCCAGACATCTGACAGTTATTATAATTAGCTATGAAAGACAGCGAAGACACTTTGGGGCAAATAGCTCTTACATTTGGAACAATGAAGTCGAGCAAGGTTCCCATCCCACCCCTTCCACGGGGGGAGGGGGAGAGGCGAGCCAACGGAGGGGAGTGTTAGGAAAGGGTTATGGCTGGACTGAAAAAACACAACTAACATAATATCTGGACTCACTCAGCACAAGGAGAGGCTTTTTGATAAGCAACTTTACCTCTCGATAGCAGCTTGCATTCACTTGGATTCCTGGCAGGGTGGGAAAGGGTGTGGGGTTCTTGGCAGCATAACGTCAGAAGGTCGGGGTGGAAGGGGCAGCGGGGGCAGAAAGAAGAGAATATCTATAACAAGAGACATTGCAATTGCTTCCCAGAGCTTTGCTGGCCAGATCTCCTTAAGCCCAAGTTGCTTTCTGGGCAAGATTTACGAGAGTTCTCAAACAGAAGCAACAGACAAAGCAGAGTTGTTTGGTTTTATTTTTCTTCCTTCTTCTCAGGAAAAAAAATTGAACCCAAATGGATAACTGTGTAATAAGAAGCACTAATTTGCATTTTTGTTCAGTTTCTCTGCCCCCACATGTTCATGAGACCTTTAATAAGATCTCACCCCACCCCCCACCCCCCCCCCCCCCCCGACTGCATGCTTCTTCCCACCCCACCTTCCCCTACCAAAAGTTAGATTCTGAAAACTACCATCAGAAGGGAAAAAGCAAAGACAATAGAAATCTGACTCTGTCCTGGCTGGGCTGGATCTCTAATAGAGCATGAAGTAAAAACAGTTGCTAAGTGAAAGATGAGCAGAATGCTTTAAAAAAAAAATAAAAAAATGAAAAGAAAATAAGTGCAATAAGGAGAAATTGCTGAAAGACTCCAGACGCTACTAATTATGGCTTAAATAAATCTTCCTGGACAGATGTTTGCTTGCTCCCACTGCGGGAAAAGGAACGTTAAAAGAACCCCCCCCCCCCCTTTTCTTTTTTTTTTAAAGAATTTGACATGAATGTCTTACCTTTTTAAAAAAAAAAAAAAAATACACCATTTTATTCTTTGTCTGCCCTCCTGTTATCTCCCCCTCCCCCAACCACCGCCCACTGTGAGCTGAGACACCTGAAGGCTAGACACAATGATCAACAGAGCACTGCGCTCGCCTGTCTGGATTCCAGCCAGATTTCTTTTTTTTTTCCCCTTCACAATCAAGGAGCCTGCACGCAATGCATGGCAAGCCCCTCACTCTGCTATGTGCAGATCAGACAGAAGTCTGAACCGCGTTGCAGAAAGATTAAAGGCAAACACATGCCTTTCTTCCTTATGTCGGCCAAGCTCGGTTTCAACTTGATTGTGATTTGCAAGAAAATATGAAATAAGAAACTTTGCAAACATAGATAGGCACCTTATTGTAAAAAACATGTGCGTGTGTGCACACACGTTCTAACACGGTGTAAATAAGGGCATCCACTGTTCCCCATTTTACAGTGGTTTACACTCTAGCTGTACAGTCAATGCAGTATTTTATGTTAAGTTCATGCATCACTTACATAATTTGCCATGTAGCTCAAATACTACGAACAGATTTTGTGTATGTACAGATTACACTACAGGCAAATAGATGGTGTACACAGACCTACATCTAAAAGGCAGTCAAACTGAAATATTTAAATATATTTGGGTTTAGAGAGATTAGCAAGATCTCCTAGACAGTTTTGTGGCAGTTTTAAACAAGACAGTAGTAAAATGCTTCACAAGTAGGTTGTCTTCAAGCCACAGAAGGGGAGCGTAGCAGGGGACTAGCTAGCTGGCCTCACAAGCCTCCTCCGCCTTCCTGTTGCCACAGCCCAGAGAAATGCTGACTGGCCCAGTGCCATAAAGTTGTTCTTGGGAATGCAGTACTCCCCAAAATAGTTGCTCTCCGTTTGGTGTGGCTATGGGTGGGGTTAGCAGAAGCATACAGGGAAAAGGGAGATTCAAAGCATTTATTCTATTTAATTTTTAAATGTATGGTGTGCAGACCTATTTTCTAAAAGTTCTTTGAAACTGCATTGTCTTTTGGTACAAAGTATGGCATGATGCACATGGCAATTATTTTCTGCTTTTCACTATGTATTTTGGGCAAAAAAAGACTCAAAAGGAAAAACATGTTTTAAACACATGCATACGTACACTGCTTCTAATTTAGCCCTGGAAAGGCTTAAACTATATTTTAGTCACATTAACAGGTATTGTAATACAAAGATAGGCTTTGTTTTGTTTTGATATATAAAACAAAAATGTATTGCTTATAAGCAATATTAAAAAAAGGAAACCAGTATAAGTGTCCCATAAATTTAGTCTTAGAAAGAACTTCCTTCCAAATAGCAGTAGAAACATACAAACAAAAGGTTACATGTGGTGGCAACAATATCCACAGGCAAGGTAAATATACTAGAAAAGAGATTTCAGAGAAGTGGATGGAATGAATTTTCTGCTGTCAAATTTGTATTTATGGATTGTTTGGGGTTTTTTAAACAACAGATTTATCACTTTTCTGAAGGAACATTTACATACCTTGAATGAAATATACAAGCAAACTTAGTGCAGTGGTCATATGATAAGTATATACTTGCAAGTTACATGTATATGCATATACACATGTTCACTAGTATTAACATGCTAAATTCCTTTCTACTTTTGCTGGCATATTATTCTTGAAAAACAAAATTTGTCACTTATGTTTCACAAATGTGTTTCAAAATAATGCCTGCAGCTACATTTTGAAGTGCTGACACTGAAGTGTATTTTCTTAAAGGTAATGACAATAACCAACCATATATTTTTATCCATTTCCTAAGACTGAAATCCTATGCAAATCAATTCCTCTAAACTTTAGAAGTCATATACATCCTTTTATTATAAGGGATTTCAACTGGCAACTTATTTATTGTTTACCAGTGCAAAAGCAACAACTAATCACATAAAAGCATTAGACCTGAGTATACGAATACAGGGCCCTTGCCTTCATGTTTAGTTCAACACTCTCCCCTTCTTCCAGTAATGTCTCTTGGGTTTCGTGAATGCTGGGAGTTCAACAGTTTTGGCTTAAGTAGATAGGAGATATAAATGCCCAGTGTTTTTTGCAAATACGATATTATCCTCCAGCTGCTGTTTTCCAGGCACCCGAGATTTGGAGCTGTGTGTTTTAGCTTTTTATACAAACAGTTTATTCATCTAAATGTGAAAAATTCTGACCTGTGTTTTTGTGCTGACTTATTTAAACTTTCAAATAGTTGATGTTGAGACAAAGCAATCATAGAAGTTTATGCATATTTTTGACTCCTTTCCCTAAGAAATTTATGTCTGTTACAGCTCATCTCTTAAGTCTATGGCCTTCAATTGGTTGTGCAAACTCGATGGTGTTACTTGCAGAAACCTCAAGTTCCAATTTCTGTTTTTAAACTCTTCTCTCCCCTCTTCCCCCATACTTCCTCTGTTGCATCTGCTTGTTTGAGCTTTTCCTAGTCTAAGCAGAAGTGTAACTTTTAGCCATAAGAATAAAGAGCTCAGGATTACTTCCAAAACTTTCAGAAAACTGGTTGTTTCACCTATACCTTTACACAGCAGAAGTAATTTGAGAGCCTACCAGAAACATCCTCGGTCTCAATAAGGTAACAGGTCCAAATAAGCTCATGTAATTACAGATAGGAAGAGAACCGTGCATTGCATTTTTATAGATAAAAAGCACAGAGTGCTTTAATGTAAACAGATTTCTCTGCGATATTTTGCCAAACTGCTGCAAAGCTCAAACTACAGTTGAGTCAAAATGACTTTCAGCATGGTACAGTTAGACCAGATGGCCACGTGTTCTTTTCTTATTTAGATGAGACTTTTCCTTTCAATAACATCTTTCTTCCTGACCTGCTTAAAAATTCCAGCGAATGAAATCAGCACAGGATTTTCAATTCTAATTGACCATGTGCAGAGGAAGGGCCAGTAGAGAAATCAGTAGGGCCATTGTAAGGCACACTGCATCAATCTCCCCTTTGTCCTGAATCTTTTCTAGCATGAGCTAAAATAATTAAGATTATTTCATTTATATTATTTGTACAGAAGTAAATCTAGTCATGTTCCGGCAAAAATCATTGCAAGTTCCTTTTTTTACAAACACATGTAACGAGGAATATGTATGTCTATTACACACCAGATAAACAGGTACCCAGCATCATTAACAATCAAATATTTAAAAAAGAAAAACAAAAAAACATACCAAAACTCAAGAAGAGTGAACAAAAGAAGGAAAAGTGTGGGTTCATTAAAGCATGAACTGCTTTGCCTTTTCTAATGAAGTCAGAAAGTCTGAAATAAAAAAAGCCTAAAAACCAGAATTATTTTTTTCACTGTCCAAAATGCTCACCCTTAAAGTGTCTGTAATCTTCAATCTATTACTTTGCCTGCATAGATTTTACACACACCACCCACACTATGTGGGATGGTGAACATGGTCTCACTTGTTTCTGTGTGATCTAGATGCAAAGTACAGATTGTAAATACTGTATATATCACA